TGGCTGTTCCCACTGCTCACAAGTTCCTTCCCCGAGCGCCCTGGCTTTTCCTGTGGCTGTCTCCACTCCCACCCCATCTTAGAAACACCCTCCTCCTTCTACCATCTCTCCCCTCTCGCTTTTCTCTAGTTCTCTATTTCTACTTTTGAAATCTATTCAAATTTTTAATTAGGGACTATTTATTTCAAACAAGAAACGATAACAGCCCTCCATATACCATCCCCATATACAACAGACATGGGCATTATACCGTTTTTATGTCCTATTCTTTTTTTTAAAAAGGAAAGAAAAGAACAGCTGAAAGCCCTGTTCTTCTGTCTCTGTCCCCGGGTCCTCACTAGCCGAAGACCCCATGTGTCCTGTCCTTCTCTGGGTGGGGAGGCTCTCATCAATCCAGCCTATTGTTCTGTCTTTGAAAACGATAACAGTCTTAGCTCTACTGTATCATTTTGCAACTTGCTTTCGCCCTCATTGTTTCTGAGATTTCTCCAAACTCTACAGCACTGGACGTCATAAGCTTTAGCTGGCAGGAGCCACTGTGGATATTTCTATCCAGGGCCAGTGGAGTTCTTCCTCTTTTCCCCGAAGCCTTGAACCTCCCAGTTCCTGTCTCCTTGTGCCAGAGGGAGTGTTTCTTTGCAGAAGTTTAATTTTTTTTTTGCCCATGAGCTGCAACAGGAAATACCTTTCCTGCTGGCTGCCAGTACACACGTGGACATACAGGCAGTGTTACAGATGGTGCAGGACAAGAAATCACACTTACTCACAGTGTCTCATCCACAGCTACTGGCAATTCTATCTTTTTCTGTTTGGGGGATAAAAGTGCTGATTTCAGGCCCGCCCTGGCGGTGCAATGGGTTAAAGCACAGCACTATAAAGCTAGCAGCAGCCACTGCAGCCTGAGTTCGATCCCCGGCCAGAGAGCTGACACACAGGACGCAGCAGACCTCTCCTGTCTCCCCGCTGCTCCCTCAGCAGTGTGTGTCAGTAGATCTGCCTGTTCTGCTCCTCACTCTGTCCCCTGCACCTCTGGCCTGCACCCCAGCTCGTCTGCATAAATAAATAAATCTTTTTTAAAAATAAGTGTTTATTGCAATCCATTGGAATCACAGCCCTTGAGGGGGTCATGACCCCCAGTTTGAAAAACCCCAGGCAGATGGAAGGGGGTGTCCGCCTCCAGGCTCTGTAAGCAGCTCTGAGCGGGGCTGCACCACTTGTCCACAGCAGGCTCCCAGCTGCCTGCTTCTGCTTGTGCATCTGTGTCACAACTTCCAGTCAAGAACCCGTGGGCTCAGCCCCTGCACTGACTCTCCTGCACCCCACCACCCCCGCTCACGACAGCCACAGGGACCCCACCCTCGAGCCTGAGTCCCGCCAGAGGCCCCCTTCCCCATGCCACCCCCCAGAGCTGACCTGTCCCAGGATGAGCTCTCCAGGTCGGGGGTCCTCAGCCGCTGCAAGCGCCGGGGAGTTGGGGAGCAAGGGGGTGACTCCCCATCACTGGACGGCGTTATGTGAATAGAGGGCACTGCCAGGAGCCTCCAGCGCTCAGGAACCAGGCCGTCGGCCCTGCCACCCTGTGGCTGCTGGCTCTGCCACTGGGCTGGGGGTGCGGGCGGGTCCTGAGCACCCCCCTGAGCCACGGGAGGCGCCCAAGGCAGCAGGGGCAGTAGCTCGGCCATGGGGGGAGGCTGCTGCCTGTTCTGCGGGGGTCCTGGGCGACAGCCTGGTCTCTGGGGGCGAAGAGAGAGCAGTGAGGAGAGAACCCCAACGAAGGCTTGCCCCTCACCCCCCTGCCCCCTCATGAGCCCAGTCTCGGTTTCCCCCTCTGGAAACTGGAGTCTTGTCCCCACATCCCGTGGTGGCTGGCAGCGCCCCAGAGCCAGGACCTGGCACACAGTAGGTGCACAGTGAAGGCGCGCCCCAGTCCTGGGTCTGGGGCGGGGGGGTGGGGGGGGTGACGCCTTTTTCTGAGCTTTCTCCAAGGTCAAGCGCTGGCTTTGCTGCCACCGGTCACCACCGCTTCCTTCCTCACACAGAACCAGGAAGCGGCCAGGCTGAGTGGGCCAGCGGCTGGGGCCCCTTAACGGCTCTGAGCAAGTGGTGAAGAGGCAGAATCCAGGATTTCCCTCCTGTTTGCTCAGCGGCTGCCCCTCCCAAGACACACAAAGGGAGGCCCAGCGGTGTCTTGTCCTCAGCCGGGAGGCAGCCAGGTGGTCCTGCTGAGGCCACCAAATGCAGTGGGCCTGTGCTCACGCAGCCAGGGCACCCAGCACCCCAGGGAGGAGGGCCGGAGGGCCCTGCTTTGGGAAAGACCCTACAGGCCAGACCCCGTGCCCAGAGTCCTCCCCCGGCACCCCAATACCTTACCTTATGGCTTCCTCTAACTCCTGTGCTCGCAGGGCTCAGGTTTCCAGGGTAAGAGCAGCAGAGAAGGCCCTGCCCTCCCCCAGGAGTCCAGGCTGGGCCAGAGAGTCACGACCTTGCAGGCCAGAATAGCTTGTTGAGCTGGAGTCCAGTTTCCCCTCTGGCCAGCTGTTCCTGGGAGAAAGGACAGAGTGGGGGTGGGGGCGCTCAGGCCACGAGGCCTGCCTGGGCCATCCTGCCCTTCCCTCTAGCCAGCCCAGTTGAGGAAAGGGCTGTTCTCACCCTGGGGCCCAGCTGGCCG